GGATGTTGTGGTGCAGCTCTCTAGTTGGTGTTGCTATGCCTGCCCTTCTCGCTGTCTCACTGAGCCATTTCCTGTCTTTGACCTGAAATCTTGTAATTTAGAACCATCCCTCCCTCTGCTCCTGCATTCATGAGTCAACTCGGTAGTCCAGAGAGATGAACACAGCGACTAAAATCAATCTCCATTCACCACGAGCAATTGAGCTATGTGTTGGCACCACGCAACAGAGCGATCGCCGAGCAGCCGCCGCGTAGCCGTCCTCCAGGCCTGATTGGTTGCGATTCATTGGCTTCTGCTATGGAATGTCGATATATAACTAATATTCATCGTATGCCTTTATATTGTTAAGCCACCCTGCACCCGCTATCCATGGAGCTAATTCGCTGTCTGCTGCTCGACTCGAGCTATCAGTTAACCTTAACAAATCTGTCCAATGATGGAGGTTTTTGTGTCCCCTTCTTCAGCCTTCAGCCAGTATTTTTACAAGTATTTCACTGTGAGATATCATTCATTATAGTGGCAGAATGGATCCTAAACTACATCTTTACAGCAGATATTTGGTGTTTGTCCTTGGAGATGTGTTACCAGATATTCTCTGGTGATGCAGTAGAACTGTAGCCGTGTTGAGACAGCGCTACATTTTGAAAGAACAAAAACAGATAAGACCAAAATGGAAGGACGCTAACACAGCCTGGATTATATAGTTCTACACCAGCCACTTTACATTATAACCCTTTCTGTCTAACAAAATAAACACACAAGTTTTGCCAGTTATATTGAGAGACAAAAATTCAAAAACAAAGTACCCAACAATATAATGATCTTTTAGAGTCATAACTATGATATCCAACTCCATTTTCGAGCCCCTCAAAAAAACTGATTAAAGCTGCCCGATGTCCCTCATATGTTAGCTGTTTAGCTCGGAAAACGTTATGCCCAAGAAACAAAATGCCAGATTGGAGTAAACGACGCTAAGACCACACAATTCTGAACCAAAATATTTCACAAAGAAGTGTGAAACTTTAATTTTGTTTTGCCACTAGTCGGTTCGCATATAACACAATTATTGAAGGAGTCGCGTTAATGGAAAAACGTTGATGATAAACTACCAAAATTCGCCAAATAATCTTTGAAAACTCCTATTAATCTTTGGCTAATTAATCGGCGAGATGGAAACACTATTTTTTTCGTCAAATAACCATCTTCTGAGTACGCGACGAACCATATTAAACAACACAATAATCCCTATTAATCACTGTTCAAATGAGATCGACTAACCTTCTCTAATCAACCCACCACCATCGAAACGCACGAATCTCCAACCACCTTCACAAGTATCTCAAAAGCTCCTGCCAAAGTCTCGGCATTCTGTCGTCACCCAACCACACCACCCGTACGCCTTCCGGTACTTCTTGATGCTAGGGGTGTTGTCAAGCTTGCCACAAGCTGTGTCAAGGAGGTGCAGCAGGGGCATCAGGGTCACTAAGCGCCACACACTCCTCTGCCCCCAGAGATGCTTCCACTGGGTAGTTTTTTGCTTCCACAGACTTCTCCCCTGCTTTTGCTTTGAGAGTTACTCGGACCATCTTCCTGCCATCTACTGCACCGCCAGGTTGGACACACTCGCAAGTAATCAAATTAAAAAATAAAGAATGGTCACGATGTCATGTGATACTGTAGTCTATAAAAAAGGAAAGGCAACGAAAAAGTACTCAGACCCACTAACTCTAAGCATGAAAATACTTTCACCAAACTTATTTACCACGGTCATTTATGTATTAAAGAATTCCCCCTATCCTTACCTAATAAGGGCTTCATCACCCATAGACGTCTTGCTCTCAAAATGCATGCAACAATGCCTCTACCTTTTCACCACGTTCTCTCTCATCAAAAGTCCTCAGCTTGTTGAGAAATGTGAATGCTCCAGCCAACTCCGACCGCCTCAACTAAGACCTGAATAAGAGATGAATCACCATGTCGCCTAGTGGGTGGCTGATGAACAGAAGATCATCACAGGCACGACGAGAGATAGTATTAATGCAAGAAATTTGAGTGTAACGTGCCGGAGTAGTAGGATGTGAAAAATAAACTAAACCAATATGTATGTGTGTGTGAAGAGGGTCGGGTGAGAGTGTTATATAGGACGGAGAGGAGCACAAACATGGTTTGAGATCAGACGCCATCTTTCTCGGGGAACAGTTGGACAATAAGACGTCGAATCATGGTCTCACTATCTGCTGCCTTCAGGGCTCCTTGTAAATCTCAGCTACCGTAACAAAATGGATCCTGGACATGGGCAGTAATTGTTGTTGCAACGACCTCGCTGTCAGAATACTAGAATATAATATGATTTCATTAAATCCAGTGCTAACTAACCACCTGCAGATTGAATCAGCGTAGAGGACGACAGGAGCCATATTTTTATTATTTTATTTATTGGGGTTCTTCTTCCCCGTGCTGCTGTGCCAAACTTGAATTTCCCCTTCTTATCTCATCTTAATTATAGACTGAGCGTGCACTGTTTGCAATGAAATGCATCCAGTCTACCCTCCAGTTGTCACAGCCCTCCTCCTCCTCCTCTTCATCACTCAGCACGCATTGGCCTCCCTTACGCATTACGCACGAGCACATCCAGCAAAACGTGCATCTTTTTTTGAATAAATGTGCTCATGTAACGCCGGTGTCACGCTGATGAACTGTCTCGTGCTTTAAATGACACCGATTGCGGGACACGTGCAGCTTACCTCGCGAGTGCGCGTCCGACGGGCCGTGAAGGCAGCAGCGTTCCTGTGAGCGGAGGCAGTTTCTCCTCCTATCAGCGCCATTGTGTGACAGAGTCTCCGGGAGCGAGGACGGCTTGTTCTTCTGGGGCCCGACAGGACTGTTTAAAACCCCCCCACCCTCCACCTCCAAATGTTTCTCTTTCCAACTCCGGCCGACCTGCATGTGGTAAGAAAAGACGCAGTTTTCTATCTTCCCAAAGCGCAAAATACGCAGAGGAAACGCATTAGGGCAGCGGCAGTGTAACCTATTAGTAATGAATAATAGACAGGGTGAGGGGTTGCTGTTCCTCCTTCTGTAAGCGTCCTAATGGCTCTGGCTGGGAAAGTTCTCCTATTGAATGGAGAATGTCTCCTGTGCTCTCACTCCCAGGGTCCCTCTGTCTCCATCTGCATACACACTCATTCCTGTTCCACTTTAGAGTTGATCACCACGGAGAAAAGTCTGTCTGATAAACTTTTTTAAACCCAGAATACATTGAGTGTGTTCCCAGAGTGCACTGCAGCCAGCAGCTGGACATACATTCACTTCTTCGCTCAGCTTGTTCTGATGTTTAAAAGGCATTTCCTAATGACTTTAAATGACCTACATACTCCTGCATGTCAACAACACTCTGTGGAAATTACTTTATAATGACTGAAGGCGACATATCCATCGCACACAGTGGACCCCAACTCAAGCAGTGCCAGGACCCCCCCAACTCAGCACCACCCTAACCCGGCTTCTTTAAACCAGAATACTTCCGCTAGCTGTGTTTACTCTACGCGAGCTTTTACAAATACAGGGTCCAAATAGTGAATTTGGTATTACCTCACGACTGTGATTGTGTATATTTACCCCTCAGTGACCTCAGTGGTGGGTACGGCCATAGTAAGGGTACTCATGTGGACAAAAATCAGAAGGCACTGACTACTTGGGTTGTGTAATGGCGAGAATCTGGTGATACGTGTTACGATACAGAGGTTACCATTCAATATATTGTGATACTGTACGCTAGGCGATATATTGAGATTTAATCAAATCTAAACTAAAATAAGGAATTATTTTAATTCAGTGTTTTTCAGAATCGATACGATATCTTTCATATTTTCTTCCACCTCTCGTATAGAAAAGAATGTGACGTATGGTGATACAGGTTATGATTCAGTATATTGTGATTTAGTGTGATACTGTAAGCAAGGCGATATATTGTGATTTTTTCAGTCTAATTTTAGGGAAACTGCCACAGTATAAGCACATTACCCTGCAGTATGCATAAACTATGAGTTTTCTGTGCCACCAGGACGGTGGTACATTATAGTCCTCAGTTTACAGCACTGCTGCCACACTGTGTGTTTCAGAATCAGTTCAATATCACAAAAATATCAATATTGATATTTGTCTGTATTCTCTTACAGTCTTTTTTTGTCAGCAAGTGTGCTCTTGTACACCTGCTGTGTGGTGGTGAAATGTGTTTGTTGCGGTGCAGTTGGAAGTGATTTGGTCTCTGGTGTTGTGTAGCTGTTGTGGCGGGGAAGTGAAGGGGCCTCTCTGTTTTGTAACGTGCACCACAGCAGTGTGCTCCTGTAATGACAGCACCTCTTCCTCGCCCCTGTCCCACAAGCTGCCGCGCAGCAGGTCGCCTCTGAGGTTTCTCCGGACGAGCGCCCGCAATATGGACTCGCGTCAGACCACGGACCCCTCTGTCTGAGGAGGTATACAACAGCTGATACTGTAGATGAGCAGATAACCACAAGTGGGGAGGGGAGCGTGGGGTAGCCCTCAGGCTCCAGAGTACATTTAAAAAAAGGTTGATTTTAAAACTCCTTAAACAAAATGGGAAACATAGAGTGGCTTTAGTTTCACAATGCAATTCCTCATTTTGTTTTAAACCCCTTAAATTTCCTCAGAATTCCATACATCAATAATGAGCTGGGAGGAGTATTTGTTGTTATGGAAGCACTGTAACAAAATCAGACCTTGATAAGAAACAGTAATAGACATCATGGGAGGGGTAACAGCTGCAGGAACTTACAGCAATAAGCAGGTTCTGTTGCATCGGCTGCCCAGAGAGGATGGATGTGGCAGGCTGCTCTATGTTGCATACCTTCAGAATACATATAAGTAGTAATAAGGCTCGCAGTGCAGCAGTAAGGCTTCAAGTGCAGTAATAAGGCTTCACCAGGATTATACTTAAGGAA